ATGTCAAAGGCAAAATCGGAAGCGATCTAAGCGTACGACACGATGTACATACATACATACATATATATATATATATATATATATATATATATATAATGTTAAATTCAATTTTAAATAAACTTTAATTAAAAATAAGAAATTAATTCACTAATTTCTTATTGGTTGTTTGTACGAAAGAAAATTAGGGGATACTACCCTTACTACATTTTGGGGGATAATACTACGATGTTGATGTAGAATTAGTTCTTGTATTCTTAGAAAAAAAAAACCACGTAAGCTTATTCTCCACGTCGCAATACGTCGTATGACTTACACGCGTATACCCTTCCTCAGTTATCGACCGCCATTCATAATTTAGCCTAGTCGATTCTGAATGAGGGGGATAGATTATGTAGCATAAAGTAAACCGTGTTTCTTCTTCCCTTTCGTATTTTACGAATTTAAGTGAAACTTCTTGATTTTTTTTTCTTTTTTTTTTTTTTTCTATGAGAAAAGAAAACTCTCACTGCTGTGATATTTCATTTATGTCAAAATGTTTTATCAACTTCCTCGTACGATTTAATAATTATTTATAACATATTTTTCGATAGAAAATTGATTTGAAATAAAACAATCGTTTGAAGATTAATTAATAAATTAAAAGAATTATAAAAAATTGGTCTTGAATTTTTCTAATATTATATATTACAATTGTCATTAAATATTTAATATTAATTCTATTATTTTAAATAATAATTTGAAATGAAATGATACGTTCAAGAATTAATTTGGACGTAAGGAAAATAGTTTCTTTGAAAACTTGTCATTTTTCAAAAACAAACTCATCTTATCCATTTAATTTAATATTCCAATTAATAAATAATAAAAATATATTAATATAAAATTGCCAAGCGTTTGTAATTTAACAAATACAAAAAAAAAGTAATAAATTTAGAAATATATTGAAAAACTTTTGACGCAATGTGGCATTAAAAACACTTACATTTTTCTCGATGAAAAACACGTGAGAAAATTGTCAATAGAAAATAGAATCGTTTCGTAACCTACTACATTTATTATTATTTTTTTTTTATTTTCCTTCATTTCTTTTCTTTACTTTTCTTTCTAGGTAAGTGCCATTTCGTGGTCACGATAGGAAGAAAATAATAAAAAATTATTCGATAACAACTTGTTAAGAAAAATCATTGTTCCCTTTCGTCACGCGACATTCGTTTCGATCAAATACTGTTACGCGAGAAAAGCTACTTTAACGAAACCTTCGAACGTATATAAAAAAAGTTCAAATTACAACGTAACATTAACCCCCTTTTCTTCTTTCTTCATACTATCGAACTATTTATTTTCTTATTTCTGAAATAGTATTAGTTTGCACGTGACTCCTATTCCTATCAAAGATTCTTCATTCTACTTAGGTTTCGATTTTTGATTATATATTTTATATATAAAGATAATTAATAATATTATAGAATAATTAATAATAATTAATTTATTTTAATATAATTTAATATAATATATATAATAATTTATATACTTATATTTAATTATATTATTACATATAAATAATATATATTTTTAAAAATACGTTTAAGTTAGAAAATTCCAATAAATAAAAATATATAAATAATTAATAATATAATATAATAATTAATAATATAATAAAATTTTATAAAATAAAATAATAAAATAAAATAATGTAATATAATAATTAATATGTATTTATATTATATTACTTTATTACATATCAATAATATATATTTTTAAAAATGTTTATAAATTAGAAAATTTCAATAAACAAATAGATAAATAAATTAATTAACTATATAAATAAATAAGAAAATAAAAATATATGAATTGTGATAAAGGGTTGCTATTAAAAAAAAAAAAAGAGTTTTAACTCCACATTGTTCAATGATATTATACTTCAATTTATTACTACTATAAAAAGGGGGTTTAATAACTCGATTGGCAAATTATAATAAAATTCTCAACTATAGAGGAGGTGGAGGATATTGTCTTATTTATGAGAAAGAAAAAAATTCCATTTGAATACCTAAGAGCGACAAAGGGAATTCCAACAAGTCGATGGAAGCGGCATCCGGCTATTCTCGCGAATTCTTGCGCATCGGTTTCTGATCGATGCAACGATAAAGAACCCTAAGATCTTTTTTTTTTTTTTTTTAACGAAAACCGTTTTGTAAGATCATTTTATTTTGTTTTTTCGTTTTGCATATAACCAGATATTTTTGTTTGTTTTTTCTTCTTTTTTGTTGATGAGGATACGACCGATAAGATATCAGCAACATTTTCGTGTCATGCGTGAGACGATTTAAGTAAGGAAGGGTGAAAAAGGGTGGGGAAAAAAGGGGGAACAACCGGCTTGGCGCCAATGCGAAATTGATGACGGCTTGCTTACTAACGATACAACCATAAATCAAAAAAAATAAAGAAGATACCCCCTAACCTTGTTATTTGTTTCATCTTATTTATATTTTACACCGATGTTCGATAAATTTGATGATCTAAGAAAAAAAAAAGATTAAACATATAAATCAAAAAGAAATTTTCTTTTAGAGAATATGTTCACCATGGTTTCTCATTAATTTTTTAATGGTTCAACCATAAAAAAAAATAAATTATGTTAACTTATATGAACAAATAACGAAGCACTGAAAATTTGATTTTATAGTAGTTAGGTAAAATTATTAACAGTAAATGGTATATATGAATATAATATATATATATATATATATATGTAAGTTTTTTTTAATCGTTTGACTAAACAAAAAAAAAGCAATAATATTAATTTATAAAAAAAATAAAAAATAACGAAGAATTAAAAATTTGGTTTTACATAGAAAAATTATAAACCGTCAATGATATAATTTGCAAATGAATTTAGTTACATAGTAAAATTTGTTTAACGATGAACACAACACATAGTTGCGGTTTTTTTATTTGTTTTATTGTTTCCACGTTGGTTTATATACCTAGGTTTACGCATACCTTTATGTATGTATATTTATATATATACAAATAGAACTTGCGCTTTTCCAATCACGTAAATATCAATTTTCGAACGTTTGCGTTCGGGAGGTAGATCAAAGGGAACGTCAACGAGAAATGAAGGAAAGAAAAAGAGGGTGAAAGAGAAAAAGAGAGACAGAAAGTGAGAGAGAGAGAGAAAGAGAGAGAAAGAAGAGAAAATGTGACGAGGGTTGGTTGGGCTGTTGAAGAAGAATGTCAAAGGCAAAATCGGAAGCGATCTAAGCGTACGACACGATGTACATACATACATACATATATATATATATATATATATATATATATATACCCAAGAATACATAGTCTTAGATATGTAATAGTACACACATAAATATATATATATTTACGTATACACAAAACGACCAAGTTTTTCCTCGAAAAATGTATTATCCGCGACGTGGTAAACGTGGTCAAAGTGATCGATTAATCGATTCGATACAATTTATTATCAAATATTCATTAAAATTAAAAAAAAAATAATAAAAAATAAACAAAAAGAAGCGTAATAAAGAAAAGAATAGATAGAAAATTATAATTATATTTTAAATTACTTATGAATTTGTGACGATAACGATAACGAGAATAACAACAACTATGAGAAAAATCCCTTGAGAAAAATTTGTAGATGAAACGGCTATTGTTTTAGATAAAAATTAAACAAAATTTCCCGCGTATGGTTTCATTTAACAACATATAGATATTTATAAGTATACTCATAACAAATACAAACTATTCGAATAAATAATTAACGACAAATATATAAAATACTTGATAAATTGCAAATCTTTTTATAGATATATTTATTTTATAATCTAATAATTTTGTATATATATAATATTTTATATAATCATTTTATATTTTATATATTTTATATATTATTTTTTTTATATTATATATTTTATATTATTTTATATTTTAATATGTAAAATAAAATTTTATTTCAAAATAAATATAAAAATAATTATAAAATATTATAGAGTTATATTTTAAAATAAATATAAAAACAATTATATAAAATATTATATAATTATTATAACATATATACACTCAAATTTTATTTAATAATATTTCTAAAACCTTTT